GGTTGGCAGAAGCTGGGACAAGTCACGGGAGCTCACTCTGTTACACGGCGCTAGGGATTCGAACTGCCGAGCTGCCGACCTTTCTGATCGACAAATTTAGCTTCTGAAGTAGAGAAGGATGACAGGGGAAAGAAAGAGGAGGTAGGAACGGGGAGGAGAGAGGGAGAAGAAAGTGATGGATAAGGTACAAATATGGTGTATGGAGAGCAGAAGAGCCAATAATTGTTTTTGGGAGTTGATGGTAAAATGAATTGATGTAAACATTTAATAATACAATATGGTGTTGGCTATGTAATAGTATACATGTGGTTATATGTTATGAAAATGAAAAAATAAAAAACTTTATATACAAGACTGAATATTATCATTAATCACTGATCAGATACAATATCATTAATCATTGATCATGTACCATTCATGGTGCCATCTTAGTGTTTTCATTTTTTTAATGCAATGACAACTCTAATCCTTATTATTATTTATTAAATTTATTTTCTCTTTATCTCATTGTCACACAAATCTGGATGACTTACAATCCAATAAAATCATAGTATCAAAGACTGAAACAGCAAACAATAAATACCTTAATAAGAAACAGTAAGGCAGCAGGGAATATACAATAAAGTGGGGGTCAGATCTTCTATTAATCCAGTAATCACCTCTACGTTAACACACCTTCTCTGGCCCCCCGGCCAACGGATAAAACCAGGTGTAAGACTTTTACAAAGGGTCAAGAGAGTGAGATCAGATCTCACTTTGAGGGGAATGAAGTTCCTCATGGCAGCTTCCATTGCAGAAAAGGCTCTTCTGGAACCAAATTCCTTGGTTGACAGGATCCACAGCATGCCCCTTCTCCCGGCAGGAGGGCCAACCCCACTGGGATTGAGACAGTTCCTCCGCTAATATAAAGGTAATAGCTACAGTTTCTTACCTTTTTATCCAAGATGTCATCCTTTTGACTGGATTTCTTTTTGTGTTTTTTTGACATGCTTAGGTCTGAAAATCTGGAAAAAAAAGTGCTACAGTCTTAATTACAAGTATATTTAAATTCTGTCTATGGAGATTCTCGGTCATCCAGGTTATGGTGGTCCCAAAGGTGCTTTTTCAAGAGGCAAGTGGACTTTCTGGTTTTTCTTTGAAGACGCTTCGCTTCTCATCCAAGAAGTCCAGTTGTCTCTTGAAAAAGCACCTTTGGGACCAAGTATGTTTAGATATTTTCCCAAGCAGTTATGTAAAGTACAAAAGCTCCATATAGGTTGGAGATTCCTAATTTAAGCAGTGAATACTGTACTGAAATATCTCTGACTTTTATCTTAGATTTAATTTGAAATTTAGTGTAATACAAATGAATCGATGACAGATTACAAGGAAAGGAGGTGGTGGAGAGAAAACAAGGATATAATCTTTCGTATGCTCATGTGTTAGTTACATGATATATATTATTACTTAGTAAATGGATTACAGTCAATGTTAGATTTATCAGGAATCATTTCAAAAGACAACATATTTGTTAAATAATGGATGAGGGCTTGCTCCTGTAATTCTTTTCTAAAATTGTGTTTAGTTTGTAATAAAAAAAATAGTGCTGTCCATTTCCCTTAAATCTTCCCTTCTTTAAAGAATTTATTTGTGCATCATAAATATGTGAATGTAAAAAAACTGAGTCAGCATTTTTGTAACACCTGAAGTCATGAAATGTAAAAATTATGAATCTAGATGAACTTATTTTTGGGTGATGGACATATTTTATTGAACAAACACTGAATTTGAAACAGAATTATGTACTGATTACTAAATTATGTCGTGTTGCTAAAATGTATAAATGTTTATTGACATATGACAAAGAAGAAAAGCAAGTGAAATAATGAATGATAAACTGGGCTAAAATTTTGGGCTATAATATACAAATGGACCAATGGAAAAAATATGTGGTTGAAAGGACTGAAATTTACCTTATCTTCTAGGCTTAAGACATTTTTTTATAAATTGTGTCACTAGTATTTGTCAATAGAGAAATTGTCTAGAATGTATTTCAAATCTGTGCTGGAAATGTGTGAACATGAAAAGATATTTTATCATGTTTGGTGGATGTGTAAAAAAACCCAAAACATTTTGGATGAAAATATATGCTTTAATTAAAAAAGATTTTAAAGGTTAAAGTACAACTGGAACCAGAGACTTGGGGGGAGGGGGGCGCTAATGAAAAAAACAATTAGAAAAAAGATATGGGATTTTGTTTTATATATGAAAACTGCAGCAATATTACTATATGTCCCAAAGTGAAAAGAAGCTTGATGCTACCTATAGCAGAGGAGTGATTGGTCAGAATGATGGAAGTTGCAGAAATGGCTACATTAACTGCTTTCATTAGAGAAAAAGCAATATCAACATTTACTGTCAATTGGAAATCCCTTACACTTTTTGAATGAAACAGCAAAAAACCTTATGATTTGTGGCTTTGATGATTAGGAAAAAACTGTATAAGCAAAGAGTTTTTGTAATCATAGAGTAAGAAATAATTTTGTGATTATATTTGCTGCAAAGGAAATCAAACACTTCTATTTTCTTTTTGGACCTTTCTAACTTTTGTTTCTTTTCCTCTCTTATGCTCTTTGTTGACATTAGTTTTTAAACTTTTTGTAAAACTTTAATTTAAAAAACTATACAAAAATACAGCAAATGATCAAACATTAAGTGTTACATGTGAAAATTGAACAGTTCTAGATAACATTCCACAAATGCCACAGCTATGGGTTACATTACTCCCTTTCCCAGCTGCATTTTTTATGTTCCTTAAAACTTGCAAGTGTATTCAACTATTTTCTGAATACAGTTTTGCTTACTTTACCAGTAGATTAGATTTTGTACATTAAATGAAAAATTGCTTTGGCTAAAAACAAAACAAAACATGGTTTACTGAACTTCAAAAGGAGGCATGGATGGTGCCATGCTGAAATGCTAATACCATGAAAACATTACAATGTTGCAATTTAAAAGGAAACCAACATGTAAATCTTTTTTAAGCTGCTTTAGTCTTGACCTGTAAAGTTTCTACTATTTATGCTTCTATGTGTGGTGTTATACTAGGTAAAGGCTCCCCTGGCGCATATGTGCTAGTCGTTCCTGACTCTAGAGGGCGGTGCTCATCTCCATTACAAAGCCAAAGAGCCAGCGCTGTCCGAAGACGTCTCCGTGGTCATGTGGCTGGCATGACTAAACGCCGAAGGCGCGCGGAACACTGTTACTTCCCACCAAAGGTGTTTCCTATTTTTCTACTTGCATTTTTACATGCTTAGGTTGGCAGAAGCTGGAACAAGTCACGGGAGCTCACTCCGTTACGCGGTGCTAGGGATTTGAACGCGGACCTTTCTGATCAACAAGCTCAGTGTCTTAGCCACTGAGCCACCATGTCCCTAAAATTATACTAGGAGGGGGGAAATTAAAAATTAAAATTATACTGGGGGGGAATTAAAAACTAAAATTATACTAGGTGGGGGGAAATTAAAAATTAAAATTATACTAGGGGGGAATTAAAAACTAAAATTATACTAGGTGGGGGGAAATTAAAAACTAAAATTATACTAAGTGGGGGGAAATTAAAAACTAAAATTATACTATGTGGGGGGAAATTAAAAATTAAAATTATACTAGGTGGGGGGGAATTAAAAACTAAAGTTATACTAGGAGGGGGGGAAATTAAAAATTAAAATTATACTAGGAGGGGGGAATTAAAAACTAAAGTTATACTAGGAGGGGGGGAAATTAAAAACTAAAATTATATTAGGTGGGGGGAAATTAAAAACTAAAAGTATACTAGGTGGGGGAGAAATTTAAAACTAAAATTATACTAGGTGGGGGAGAAATTAAAAACTAAAATTATATTAGGTGGGGGGAAATTAAAAACTAAAATTATACTAGGTGGGGGGAAATTAAAAACTAAAATTATATTAGGTGGGGGGAATTAAAAACTAAAATTATACTAGGAGGGGGAACATTAAAAACTAAAATTATACTAGGTTGGGGGAAATTAAAAACTAAAATTATATTAGGTGGGGGAAATTAAAAACTAAAATTATACTAGGAGGGGGGAAATTAAAAACTAAAATTATACTAGGAGGGGGGAAATTAAAAACTAAAATTATATTAGGTGGGGGAAATTAAAAACTAAAATTATACTAGGAGGGGGGAAATTAAAAACTAAAATTATATTAGGTGGGGGGAAATTAAAAACTAAAAGTATACTAGGTGGGGGAGAAATTTAAAACTAAAATTATACTAGGTGGGGGAGAAATTAAAAACTAAAATTATATTAGGTGGGGGGAAATTAAAAACTAAAAGTATACTAGGTGGGGGAGAAATTTAAAACTAAAATTATACTAGGTGGGGGAGAAATTAAAAACTAAAATTATATTAGGTGGGGGGAAATTAAAAACTAAAAGTATACTAGGTGGGGGAGAAATTTAAAACTAAAATTATACTAGGTGGGGGAGAAATTAAAAACTAAAATTATATTAGGTGGGGGGAAATTAAAAACTAAAATTATACTAGGTGGGGGGAAATTAAAAAGTAAAATTATACTAGATGGGGGAAATTAAAAACTAGAATTATACTAGGGGTGGGAAATTAAAAACTAAAATTATACTCGGTGGGGGGAAATTAAAAACTAAAATTATTCTAGGTGGGGGGGATTAAAAACTAAAATTATACTAGGTGGGGGGGAAATTAAAAACTAAAATTATACTAGGTGGGGGAGAAATTAAAAACTAAAATTCTACTAGGTGGGGGGAAATTAAAAACTAAAGTTATACTAGGTGGGGGGAAAATTAAAAATTAGAATTATACTAGGTGGGGGGGGAATTATATTAGGAGGGGAAAATTAGTGGACATTAATGCTTTCTTACCATGACTGTGGACGTTTGCTCTTTCTTTTTTTAATAGCTATTCAAAGTAAAAGAGCAAATACCCTCAGCCTTTGTTAAAATGGATAAAGTAGTACTGGAAAGGGATGCCAATACAAGATCACCGCAACTAGTTTAGTATCCCAGTGGGGCCAAACCGATTTTACCTCAGTCCTCAGTTCCGCTGTAAAATCCATTTTAAAATACTTTTGTTTCCCCCTCCTGTTTCGTGCGCTTGTCAACTTAAACCCCACGCAGGCTGTCAGTAAACGGGCACCCTCCCCGTCGTTCAACCAAGCCTCGCTTTGACTGGAGTCCGTTAAAGAAACGGATTCAAACGACACCCGTGTCAAAACACTATAACTGAAACTTAACCTTACCTGGTGGCTTTTTTGAGGGAAGTTGAGGCGACTTAACACGCGCAACACTCGAGTCAAGAGTCCCAGGAGCGCCACAACCTTTCCAGAGGGATCATTTTTGAGCGCCTTGATAAAAGGTTCCCCTCACGTTTCTACGACTCTTTTCTGGTAATTAAAAGACACCTCAGGGCCCCAAAAAGAAAGTATCGGCCATTCGCCGAGGCTTGTTTTCCTCTGACGTCTCTCAGGCACGCATAGACTTCTCCGCCCTCTTGCAATAAAAGAAAAAAAGACACCGCCCCCTCTCCCTCCCAGCAGCCAATCGGCTCCTCTTTTACACCGCCCTGCAACCCGTCAATTTGCGTCCTCCCAATTAGAAGAGCCGATGAACGCCAGCCCTGTCGAGTTGCATGCTGGGTACTGTAGTTCACTAAACTGTCGACACCGGCAAAAAAGGCGGCCTTGTTTTTTTTTTTTCCTTCAGAGCGGCGGCGGCCTTTTGGGAATTGTAGTCCGCGAGCCGCGTTGGGTTTTGGGTGCTGTAGGGGAGGTTCAAAAAGTCACGGAGGCGTAGCGGGCCGCGGTTTTGGCCAGCGAGGGAGAGACTTTTTGAGCGGCGTGAGAGGCTTTTGGAGAGCAGACTGAGGAGGAGGAGGGCAAAGCAACTTCGCTCTGTGAGGGGGGAATAAAAAATGGCGGCCGAGGACGCCCCGCTGCCGTTGTTACAACTGCCGCCGTCGCCCCCCAACGAAGAGAGACTGAGGGAAAGCCGGGAGGAGGGAGAAGATAAGGAGGCCGCGGAAGAGCGGAGTGAGTATAAAAGGCAAAAGGGGCAGGAAGGGTTTTGCAGGCTGAGGGGGTTTCGCCATGAGGAGAAAGGAGGTTGTTGTTGTTGTTGTTGGCGCCGGCCTTTCTTCTCCTCACTCACGCCGCCTGAGGGGAACCTTGTCAGACGGTTAGAAGGCGCCTTCCTAGGTTAGGCACGTCGGTCAGAGGTTTCCAAGCGGTGTCTTTCTTTTCTTGGACGGCCTTAATTTGGAAGATAGCGGCTGTTTGCAGGGATGCAACCGTTAGCCGCCTTTAAGGTGGTTTTTTGGGGGGAGAGATTCTGCGGGCCCTCAAACAATTGTTCCTCCCAGAGGACTAATTGTTGCCAAAAAACAACAACCCCAAACCGTTTTTTTCATTAGCATTTAATGGCGCATGAAACGTGCCCTTTAATGCTCATTCAATGTGTATAGCAGTGTTTCTCAACCTTGGCCACTTGAAGATGTCTGGACTTCAACTCCCAGAATTCCCCAGCCAGCATTCGCTGGCTGGGGAAGTCTGGGAGGGGACATCCAGACGAATTTAAATGTCCACAGGTAAAAACTAATGCTATT